ATAAATCAATTATTATGACCTACATTTTGATGTCTTACTCAAGGATAGTCATCATAATACTGACAGACAAGATGAGGACTTGTCTAGATTAATTTTCTATATTTGGCAAAATGCTTTAGTGCAGTGGTAGGTCTAGTAAAAGATTCACTGACCCAGTGTATTATGAGAGAATGATATACATGGCATGGCTACTGATATAATTTGTACAACTTTTCCTTGATTTTTGGAGAGATTTATTTGTTTACTGATATTGGTCTTTCACTATAACAATGCCAATAACCACTGAAAAAGGGGGGGGGGGGGATCAAGGAATAGAATACCATGGGAGGTTCCATGGGAACTAAATGAAACCTGTATACAACAACTAAAAAATACTGGGGACAATTGTAATCAACCTATCCAAAAACCTAGATCATGACTTATTAATAAAAACCTTAACAAGGAATCAAAAGATCTTGGAACTGCAATTTCAAAGTTTTGTGTATATATAGAACAAGCGTGTTTCACACTTGGGGGATCCCTTAGGGTCTTCTACCTTGCCCTTTGTCCTTCTTAGCATCAAGTACCCTTTTAAATATCAGAAATGGCACATTATGCAGTGTGAACGTCCTACAAACAAGTCCCAAAACATAGGCATCATGTGAAACCCATAATCCAGACCTAACCTTCCCTAACTTCTATTTGTTCCCCCTTTATTAACACTGCGCCAACTTACAGAAAATGCAACAAAGATCTCGAGCTGTGCGAGGGTATTGTGGATTCAGTCTGACAATATGCAACAGATAATTTCATTTCCTGGTAAATATGAGGCTGCAGCAGCTGTACCTGTGTTGTTTATGACTTTATGATCTATACGACAGCAGTGTCCATTTCAATATCTCTGTACATTACTTCATGTTAACATTAACCCTATAAAAAATTTCAATAATTTTCCTGAATGTAAGACTAAAAAATTAGGTCAGTATTTACAGTATGGACATTCTCCCAACATCAGAAGATCTATACAATACTTGGCCCCAAGGGTAGGGTTGATGGCGGCTCTGGCCCAACAACCCTCTGGGAACATTGTCTTTACCTTGGTATACGTGGCAAGGTAAAGCGGGAGCTTGAAACCACCGAGTGGACACAGGCTCTATGATATTTTCCCTTTATATGTGGCCTTATCAATCTTGTCTATAGATTAGCTCTTGTACTAATAGCTACAAGATCTTCAATTTGGCATTGCTATGATTGGTTAATCTTTATGCTATGGAAGCACTAAACTGGGGCAAATAGATTTTCTTGTAAGGGGGCAAAAAGTTGCTGTAGTTGGTACAAGGAAACCCCTGCAGACAAATAGTAATGCAACAAAGGAAGACTTGAAAACAGCACTCAGAGCCCAAGTCCACTTAGAAGTCCCGAGTTTCAGCTCTATCTTGCCATGAATACCAAAGTGAAGACAAGGTTTGTTGGGGAGTGTTGAGAGGGGTATAGCCTCCTTCAAGCCCACCCCCTCAGGTCTTGGTCGCTGATGAAAGAATCCACACTGTAATGACCTGTACTGAGTACATACCATGAATAATCAAAAATTGCAAAAAGTTTCAAGTTCTATCTAGTATTGGGGCCTTCATTGGAGTGTAAAGCACAAAGCTTGTATGTCTCGACTCACTTTATTCTCAATAACTACCTTGGAACTTTTTGTTCAACTTATACATATTAGCAGTTATTTCTTAAATACAACTGAAACCAATGAAATATTGTGTAGTTTCATGATTCTATACAATAGTTATCTAACATCTTCATAAGTGACAAACCATGAGGGAGAAACTTTTGTCTTTCAAGTATAGCTACGTTGACTGCCTATATACAATGAAAATGTGGGCTGCATAAAACCACTTCGAGACTGTCCACAACACCCTTGCACAGCCTAAGAGTTCTTGAAGTCGCATTTTCGGCGAGTTTGCACGAGGTGCTCATAAAAGGGGGGGGGGTACAGGAGGCTTACATAATATGCCCCTTGATGTCATTTGCCAGAAATATTAACCTTGGAGTTTCTCTATAGCTGGTGAACACAAGGTGGTTTGCTATTTACAATTTCCTGAATAAAATTATGTCCTGAACATCTACATTCAAATGAAGCAATTTAAATTTTTTGACCCGTTTACCACAATTATACCTTCATACAGTAATACACAAAGGAATTATAAAATGTTAAAAAATATAACTTGGCGAGTGTACATCTACGTCCAAACTAAAAATCCCTGGCCTCACATTCTAGACCTTAAAAGACAGTTATTACAAAAAATCATGAACAATTCTCATCCAAATCCAATATAATGTCAATGGTAATGAAAATAAAAACACGATTGGATTTGTCTGACGGTTCATCAAGTTCCCCGTTATTTCTGGCAATTAGTATCATTACAGCACCTAGAACTCCCTCTCCCGGACACTTTCGCGAGACCAACGTTTTCCGAAATTCCTAAAGGTCGGCCCGAGGAAAGGCTTTGACGAAATTAACACGTGAATTTCCTCTCTCGCCCGATCGTAAACACAGCCATGTGGTGGACCCGACCAGCCACGGAGACCACAATTATTTCTCTTATTTCTCCCCAAACCGGAGCATTTCCGAGCCCAAATATCCGCCGAGAGGAGAAAGCCGTTCCTATTCTCACTAGCGAGACACTTCACTTCCTCCCAAACGGCTTATTAATCCAAGGGGAGGCCGGGGAAGGAGAAAAATCGCGAAGTCACTCACTCGGTTCGGCATCTTGGAGGGTGGAAAGGAGAGACCTCTGGCGGCGACTCGGGAAATTAAATCGGGAGAAAGTGACGAGCGGGATGCGCAAGGGAGCGGGCCGGACGAATGACGGGCGGGATGCGCAAGGGGGCTGGTTTTTTCCATTGTGGTTTTTCATGTGTGTGTCTTTTTTTTTAAGATTAGATTTTCATTGGTTATTGGTTTGATTCTTATAGCTTATTTTCGTTGGTCTTGTTCTCGAAGGAAGCGGTGCGGTAATAACGTTTTTTTTTTTTTTTTATGATTTTATTCATGTATATATATATATATATATATATATATATATATATATATATATATATATATATATATATATATATATATATATATATATATATATATATATATATATATATATATATATATATATATATATATATATATATATATATATATATATATATATATATATATATATATATATATATATATATATATATATATATATATATATATATATATATATATATATATATATATATATATATATATATATATATATATATATATATATATATATATATATATATATATATATATATATATATATATATATATATATATATATATATATATATATATATATATATATATATATATATATATATATATATATATATATATATATATATATATATATATATATATATATATATATATATATATATATATATATATATATATATATATATATATATATATATATATATATATATATATATATATATATATATATATATATATATATATATATATATATATATATATATATATATATATATATATATATATATATATATATATATATATATATATATATATATATATATATATATATATATATATATATATATATATATATATATATATATATATATATATATATATATATATATATATATATATATATATATATATATATATATATATATATATATATATATATATATATATATATATATATATATATATATATATATATATATATATATATATATATATATATATATATATATATATATATATATATATATATATATATATATATATATATATATATATATATATATATATATATATATATATATATATATATATATATATATATATATATATATATATATATATATATATATATATATATATATATATATATATATATATATATATATATATATATATATATATATATATATATATATATATATATATATATATATATATATATATATATATATATATATATATATATATATATATATATATATATATATATATATATATATATATATATATATATATATATATATATATATATATATATATATATATATATATATATATATATATATATATATATATATATATATATATATATATATATATATATATATATATATATATATATATATATATATATATATATATATATATATATATATATATATATATATATATATATATATATATATATATATATATATATATATATATATATATATATATATATATATATATATATATATATATATATATATATATATATATATATGTATATATATATATATATATATATATATATATATATATATATATATATATATATATATATATATATATATATATATATATATATATATATATATATATATATATATATATATATATATATATATATATATATATATATATATATATATATATATATATATATATATATATATATATATATATATATATATATATATATATATATATATATATATATATATATATATATATATATATATATATATATATATATATATATATATATATATATATATATATATATATATATATATATATATATATATATATATATATATATATATATATATATATATATATATATATATATATATATATATATATATATATATATATATATATATATATATATATATATATATATATATATATATATATATATATATATATATATATATATATATATGTACACTTCCCTCTTTTCACTTGGCAGAAGAAAAAACTCTTACCTGTCTTGCTTCTCCATGAATTGGCTTATAATTAATGTTCATGAGTTTGTTCATGTTTCATCTTTGTAGTTCTGTACCCACTGACCTTTATTATTTTATTTCATTTATTTTTCATAAGTTGGCTAAAATTTATTTTTGTTTAGGCAAATAGTTTTTATTCTCTTGCAACATATTTAGCTGTCATGAGTTTGCATGTATTTCTTCATGATATTGGACACCTTTCTTCATGAGTCATCACAGAAAAGTTTGTTTTTTTTTATAATGACCATGAACTCTTTATCAATGGACACACCAGCACCACCAGTGCAAACTTGTGTTTCCAGTAGATAGATACATTTTAATGATATTCTTTTGTATCTTTATTTCTGTTAAACAGGTTCAAGTCAGGTGAAAAGAGCACAAAAAAGCCTCTTTGCGTGGAGTTTCAAGTGCTACCAGGAGGACGAATACGATGGCATCGCCACAACTGCCGAGGAAACCAATGGCCAGCCACCGCCAGAGCCCCCCATTTACGCATGCAAGTTTGGAGAAGGACCACAGTATGGGCACATATTAGTGCTGGCTAACGAGGATGGGAAAATTGGGCTAAGAGACACGAGGCAGAAGGGGAACCAGGCTGCAATTGAAGGTATGTAGTTACTGTTTGCATTTTGTATTACTGGTATGTGGCTCTATGGATTGCATATTACCTCTGTCGAGTATTGTAAGTGTCATGAGATTGAAATTTCATTTACCTATACATAAAGGATGTGTCTATATATTCCAGCTCATCAGATACACAACAATGCAATATTCGATGTGTGTTGGGTGCCAGGAACTCCGGAACTGGTGTCTGTCTCAGGAGATCAGACTGCCATTGTTCTGAGAGTGAAAGAAGATGGTGCCCTAGAGCCTGTCCTCACGCTGATGGGACACTCGCGATCGGTGAAAACTGTTCATGTTAATCCCTTTGATCCATGTAAGTACATTGTGTTGATCTGATTGTTCTCTTGTTTGGTATTTAGAGTTCATTATTATTTGCTAGTGAGTTTTATTGATGTTTTTTATACATGCTTTTTTTTATCCGTATTATAATATACATTAAACTGTAATTCTGAAACTTCTCTTTTATTTTGAATATCTTATTTATAATGTAACTGAGTACATGTTAACACTGTTGGACTTCCAGATGTGATAGCAACTGGTGCTCGAGATGGGAGTGTGATCATCTGGGACAAACGGTGTAAACCACATCATCGTGCAGACGAAATAGCCCCTGCCCATCACAGCCTGAGTGAGTGTTTTTGATATATTTGAATATGTTGCTAGTTTCAAATATGGCACATGTGAAAAGGCTGACTTAACATCATTTAGAAGTAACAATATATAGTATACATTAAACTGTAATTCTGAAACTTCTCTTTTATTTTGAATATCTTATTTATAATGTAACTGAGTACATGTTAACACTGTTGGACTTCCAGATGTGATAGCAACTGGTGCTCGAGATGGGAGTGTGATCATCTGGGACAAACGGCATCCCCTGAGTGAGTGTTTTTGATATATTTGAATATGTTGCTAGTTTCAAATATGGCACATGTGAAAAGGCTGACTTAACATCATTTAGAAGTAACAATATATAGTAATACACTTCAACATTTTAATCAGTCTGTTAAAACAAGGAATATAAGGTTTGTGATGTCAATAAATTTTAGAAATATCAACACTTGAATAGCAGACTTATGATTTAGCATGTGGTGATGGTATTATTATTTTGTCACAAATTTTATTGTATTTTTTAAAAATTAGTTTCTTTTTCTTTTTCTTTATTGATTTCAACATTTTTCTCTTCATGTTTACAGCAAACAGAAGTATTGCTTCTCCTAGCATGCGCAAAGTTGCCGCAGGGGGATCATTGGCTAACAACAGTGTTACAGGAGTTGTGTTTCAGCAGCAGCATACACTTATTTCATCTGGAGCATCTGATGGGTGAGCATATTTAGTCAGGATACCATTACCATTTCTCACTTACAATGAGAATGAGAATGCAAGTGAAATGCTTTATTATATTAATCTGCTCTTAGTAATATAATAATGATCTGCTCTTAGTATTATAATAATCGCATTTTATTGTCAAGACTGATCAAGCTGTGGGACCTGAGGAAAACACATAGTGGAGGGAGGCGAGAACCACAGTGCCAGAGCCTACTAGAACACAGTGGCAATTCCTCTCATCGGGGATTCACCTCCTTGTCTGTATCGCCAGAGAGAGATGTTCTTTACACATCCTGTATGGACAATGTAATCTATGCCTACCACTTGGCAAACCCAACACCAAGGCCAGGTACTGTTGCAGGATGGTGTTGTATTTGTTGTGGAATGGGGGTGCAAATCAAATTCAATAGACAATTAATTTTCAAGCCTTGGTTTAGGGTACTTAGAATTTGCAGATGTATGTATCTATTATTGCCAGTATTGCATTTTCATGGTGTCTAGGTGATGGTAGAAATGTGTAGAAGTCATAAATAGCATTAACTATTTAACTAATTTGTAGTTCTTTAATTTTTTTTTCACATTACTCTTTTGATGAAGACAATAAATCTCTTAATTATAAGTGCCATTTGACATAGGAAATTAGACACAGAAAGGATACATAAAAGTAGAAGCCAACCTATATTTTAGTACCTACCTTCAGGCATACATAGAGGCCAATAGATGCAAGATACATGCACAATGTATAAGCAAATCATCAGGTTCTTTCTGTTGTGTGTTTGAAGTATAACAGTCATAAAATATACTGATGTTTTTTATGTGTATATTTTATATTTTTTTCTTTCTTTCACAGTTGCTGAATATAGAGGACATGTAAACCTCACCTACTATGTTAAGTCTTGCCTGAGTCCATGTGGGTCATACCTCTTAAGTGGCTCAAGTGATAACCATGCTTACATTTGGCTCACAGAGAAGCCTGGGAGACCTATTGCAAGACTTACAGGTCATTTTGCAGAGGTCACTTCAGTGGGATGGTGTCCAGTTGATGATGAGAAGGTAGGAACATTGACCTTGCATATTGTAGGTATGACATTTGCTCTTATTATTTGTATATATCTGAATATGTTAAACATTTAATCTAGTTTCTTTAATAAGATTCTCGTGTGCATTGGTTAAAAATTCATGTTCAAACTTTTCAGTTGGTGACATGTGCAGATGATATGAAGCTTAGGGTCTTCCAGCGAAGAAACACAAACCTAGATGATTTTGATGAAAGAATGAAGCTTCGAGGACTGGCTGAAGTATACACCGCAGAACACGCCAAAAGTGACATTGCAGAGCCCGGTGAAAGCTCGGTGAATGAACCACAGGATCCCCTACCTCCCCTGCCCATCACCCCAAGCACATCTCGTCTTCCTGCTTCCACATCAGCCACACCCTCAAGCATGAGAGGGAGAGAAGGACCGTCTAGCTTGCAGTCTCCTCAAAATCATCCAATGACGCCCAGACAACAAACACCTCATCAGCGATCTCGAGGCAGAGGTACGCCTTGCACACCGAAAACAAGCGAGAGGAATACACTGCTACATTGGCTAGCAGCCGCAAAGACTCCGGGGCCCCAGGAATCACCGAGCACTTCAGGAGCTGCACCAGTAAGTGCAAGCAAAAAGGCTGGGTTGAAACGCAAGCTAACTGACCTCATGGGGGAAGACCAGGAGAATATCAGTGGTGAGGACAAGAAAAAGTCCCCTATTTCCCCCAAGAAGAATGTGCTGTGTCCATCCTCTGCACAGAACTTCCCCTGTTCACCCCAGCCAAGCGCGGCCAAGATGCTCAAATACGGAGATGATGCAAGAGCCTCCTTGAAACAGGAAGGCTGTGAAGGCTTTACAGAAATGAGTGAAAGTATCAAGCCCATAGAAGCCCAGGATAAAGTAGCCCTTGATGGAGGATTCAGGAAGCCCGTGACAAATGTAGTGAACCGCTCACTGGAAACGGTGAAGGAAGAAGGTACCAGCTGCCCCAAAGAGCAGCTTGCTAAGGCTCCAAAAATAGCAGAAAATGCATTAAAGATCAAGAGCCAATTTTCCCCTTCACCCTTCAGATTTGGGCACCTCTCTTCTCCAACAGCCAACCTGCCCAATTATGTGGTGGATGGCTCCTCGCCTCACAATCGACCAGAAGTACGAGTGGAGAAGAAAAAGAACACAGACTGGCTAACCTCCTTTAGCCACCAGAGGAAACTGAAATTTATGAGAACACCTGACAAAGTTGAGAGAAAGCATGCCTCGGGGTTCTCTTCTCACGTCAAAAAGAAGGAAAAGAAGGTTCTCCACATAAAGCAAAAGCATCAGAAACTTACCCTGTGAGGACAAATTGGCTAAGTAAGTTCATACCAAAGTCATAAGGAGTCAAATTTTAATTGTAGCTATACTCTTGTACCTGAATTTATAAAAAAAAAAGGTTTATTTTTATTGGTAAATACTGTTGTACATAGTTTTCACACAAGGTGATATAAATTGTGGTCTATATTGCTTAAAATGAAGTATTGTTTGCATGTTAGTATGTTAGTCTTGTTTTGATCTAATTACACTACTACATTTGTATTACACTCATAATAGGATCCGGTTGCTTGTAATGTAATAAGATACATTTTATTTCTGCATTATACTGTGGCACTCTATATTATGGATGGTACTTTTATATTCCTACATATAAGAGAAAATGTAAAACCTGAGTGAAAAATAAAATGGAAAATGTAGTGTCTGTCTTTAAGTTTCCAAAGCAAATGACTGATAATTATAGGTAAAGGAAAATTGGAAAAAAAAAATAATAATAATAATTTCTTTATTCTGGGAAATATCTCCCTGTCTTGAATTCATAGAATGACATATCTTATGCTTAGTGCATATTATATCACAGTTCATTTGGGTACATAAGATAATCACTGATTTTTACAAATAGCTCATGGCACAAATGGAATGATATATGCATATACCCAAAAAATATTTTGCCTTCAAATTTATTCATCTGTATTTTTCTCTTCAATCATAATTGCCCTGAAGTAATTTTTCCCAAAGGAATACATAGTACAGTAATTATAAATTACTTTTACACATGTAAAAATATTTATGGGATAATTTCTCAATATAAAAAAGTACATTTACATA